ATACCATTATTATTTAAATGCAATATTAGGGAGAAAAAAGCCTCCCTAACCTTCTGTGGCCTCCGCATCTCCCCTTATAGCCACCCTATCCACCCAAAACGAACGTTAATTTTGAAAGCGTAAACAAATAATTAATTTAATTTAACAATTACATCAAAAAATCAATTTAGAAACATTTTAAATATCAACCTAAGTTATGATTATAAAGATATAACAGTTTATACAGTAAAAAACAAAATACCTGTAAGAGAAAGACAAGAAAACACATGAAATTTCAAAGAAATTACAATAAAAAGCAAAAAAGAAAATGATGTCTTCGTTCTTCTTAGGAAATACCTCATAATCTGAAAGCGAATAGTGCAATTACAAGGACTAACGACAAATACTAATAGCTTTGGTAGAGAAGATCGGACAGATTTCGCCAAGGCAAGCTGGGCAGTCGCCTATTGCTCCTATTCCAGATAACCCACTGTACCCTGTCTGAAAGGAAGTAACGCTAGAGTAGACTCGCGAAAAGTGTATAAGACACTTTTAAGATCAACTAAATAGCTAAGCCCAAGGGAAGTCGTTCGGGGAGGCCCTCCCTAATTCCACAAGGGTGAGAAGAAACACACACGATAACGAAACGTTGAATCATGTAGAACTCGTAGGGTAAATGCAAAGCAATTTATAGTAAGAATATGCAGTAAGCTAAGCGAAGAGGTAAGCAAGGTTAGACTATACTACAACTACTAAACGTGTTATTTCTACTACTACACTACTACTAGATACAAAAAAATAATAAAAACATCTACAATCAACAATTACTTCAAACAAAATGAACAAAAATAAGCATGCAAAATAAAAACTAAATCAAATTAACTATAAAAAAAACAAAAAAACATGCAAAATAAAAAATTTATTTGAATAAAATAAACTTAATGAATTCTACCAGATAGAGCATGCATGATAAAAAACTATTTCAACTATGGGGTCATCTTTGTCTTCTCCAACGTCGAACTGAAACAGATACGGTGGTAACAGATTAATAAAGAGCAATTAAAATTACTTATATCAAGTATTCCTACCTTAATCAACTGTAATGTTCCAAAGTTTGCAGGTGTGAAAAGCAAAACAAATCCAAAAGGAATGCCACAGCAGACAATTCGTTGTTTCAGTGAAATGTAAGTAAATCTCTAGTTGCTCTCGCTCTCCGTTTCAAGATTGACTGCATAATGTTGCAAGGTGGAGAGGAGAACAGAAAATTAAAAACATAGTTCACAAAAGACCACACCCATGTACATATTGGTTGTATCAGTATGACCAAACTGAACTTTATTCTCTCTCATTTGTTGCAACAATCTACGGAAACGGACAAATAAAAATATTAATTACACTATTCATTAAGGATGGGGTTAACGCACCTAAAAACACGCACCAAAAAGCAAGTAAAATATCTGAATTATAAAATGGTGACAAGCGTCAATTTTACATGACATAAATATCCAAAAATCATAAATATACGAATAGATAATAGCTACAAGCAAAATCATAGATACACGACGTTAATTTATGCTACGAACAATAGATAACTGTTAAAGAGAAACCACAGATGCCAGAGACGAATAATTATTATGAAAATCAAGTACAACCAAAAAGCAAAATAATCAACAGTGAAACAATTGCTTATCTAGAGGATAACTGTACAGTGCTCGAGTTTTATTTCTAAGCGTTGACAATAAAGGAAAAGTAATATCACCCATGGTGAAATGAGCCCCATAGCAGGCAGGCAGAACACCACATATGCAGCTGTAAATTGGACTGCACATATTTTCAAGTCCAAGGGGAGGGAGAAATGAAGGGGCTCCACTTCTCCAGGTCTCGAATCCTTATTTTTTGTCTTCTTGTTCATTTAATATGTTTAAATGACATCCTGTTGAAACAATTTAATGTCAGTTGCATCTTAAATATTATATTTTAAAATATTAAGAACTGCAATTTTCACCAATAAAATAAAACTCAATAATGAAATATAACAATTCAGAAGAGCAAAAAAATTATAGTAGTACCTAACTAGTAGTACTCAAACAAATAGAATACAAGATTTGGAAAATTTCAAACCATTTTGTAAATATAACTTGGTAGAATAATTAAATATTTCTTACCTTTTCTATAAGCCCAAGAGAAAGAAGCGTGATTGGACTCTACTTCTTTACATTTCGAATCCTTCTTATTTTTTGTGTTCTTGTTCATTTAATATGTTTAAATAACACCCTGTTGAAACAATTTAATGTTAACTTCGTCTTAAACATTGTTTTAAAATATTAAGAACTTAAAAATATTTTATGCACTAGATCGCTTCTTTGCATTTTTACTAGGGATTATTATATTCCAGATTGACCTATGGTGTTTCAGCTTGGGGTTTAGCTTGCGAAGGAATACCAAGTTCGAATAAATCGTTGCAAGAGAATTTTTTGAAAATTACAAAACCTGCTGAATATCAAACAATTCCCAAACAGATAAGAATTAAAAATATAAATAATATAGACGTTTTAGTTAAACACCACCATGTTACCCTCACTGATATGTACTGTAAATCTTCAAGTACAACTAGACACAGAGCTTTAATACTACCAGTGGTCAACCTGGAAGTTGGAAAAAACCTCTTTTTACAGAACAATTGCACTACACAACAAATTACCAAAGGACACTAAGGGCATAAATCTTGAAAATAAAAGTATTAAATTAAATAAAAGTATTTAGTTTATGGGAACTATGTACTTATTCTATTTAAATAAACTTTCCATATACCTTTCCATATAAAAAAAATGATAAATGAATGAAAATAGTAATTTCTTTACCAAGTTAGTTCATNAAAAAAAAAACGTGTACAAAAATATTTAACTATTATTATTTAAAAAATTAGTCTCCTATATACATACATAAAGAAATCAATTTATTTTCGGTTTCTTTTCTGGTGGTGGCTTTATCTTTTCTTGTTTATCACTCTTACTCTCTTTATTTTCTGTAGTTCCATTTTCTGGTTCAGTTTTTACAACTGCTGTGGGGTTAATTTTTGGCAGTTGGGGCTGAGGCAAAGGAAACTTTTTAATCAGCTCACCTAGAAGCATGTCCACCCTTTGTCTTTGAAATAAGGAACTTGCTTCCTCCTTTGGTTTCTCTTCTTTTTTAACTTTATCAATTCCACTCCTTTTGAAATCCCATGAATAACCTTTACTAGGATGATATCTTGCATAACTAGAAGCTTCTTCAAAAGCTGACTGTAAGTGATGTACTGCCGACAACTGAAAATACATCTTGTATTAACACATGAACGTCGAAATTTGTCATACGTTTCTGAGCATTTATTATAAAAACGAGTGAAACTTTAAAATTTAATTTAAACTAGTTTATAATAAATGCTCGCCTGCCACGACAGCGACTCGTAATCGATGTAATTTGTTTTTTGCGAAAAACAACTTTTTGTAACTTTAACTAAGCTTTTAGTTATATTAAAGAACAATAATAATGGAAAGGGGAAATTAAAGGGCCGCTTTAACGTAAAACACCCAGGGTGATTTTATTTCCTAGTCCAGGTTTGATTTAAATGACTGAACCCTTATTTAAGTAACCTTAAATAAACGATTACAATAAAGGGAAATATATTTTGACTTTTTTATTCCTACTTCAGGTGTTTTGCGCAGATATTTATTAATCATTATGCCAAACATATTGATTCGCCCTTTTTTAAATCTTTCATAATTATTGCGATGTTTTAATTGAAATTGCTTTTTTGCAAGCAACCACAGCAAGCAACTAATGGCTCAACTATTCTGTTGCAAATGGATATACCCTTCATCATCATCAATTCATAATAAAGAATACTATTCCGAAGTGCCCACAATATATCCTAATAAGTGAATTTAAAATAGAACCATCATAGTCTGACCTAATTAATGATTCTGGATTAAAATAATTGAGACTAACCTGGACAAATCCAAACAGGTGTCTTGAGAAGATGGCGGACGATTTGCTCGTATATCTGCTCAAAGAATCTGCATTTGAAGTATTAGATAAATTAATTTGTTGCTTTTGGTAATCAATCATTAAATATACAAATTTAACTTGTATTACATGTTTTGTTTTTCACACATCAAACTGTAAACAATCATAGACATCTAAACAACTGATGCTTGTAAAACCATAGACATATATTAATGGACGTGCCTTAGCCGTATATCGTTGTTATAATTTCTTGGGTCGAAAAGTGAGGGAGATGGTGTATGGTTTAGAACTAGTGTTATCTCTTTCATGACACGCTTACGCACTATCGTAAGAGAGATGAATATTGTCCGAAACTTCGTTCCATCTCTTTCTTTTGTTGTACCACAATTCTGATCGCTAAGGCATGTCCATTAGTAAACGTCGATGTGTAAAACAATCTATGCTATAAAGTGCCATAGATAATATAAGATTGTAATCTGTAACATAGATTTGTAATGAGCAGTTTAAATTGTCTTACCAACATAATCAACCAATATTACTATGGAGTATACAGCAAGCGAGCAAGGAGTAGCACATATACAGGTTGTCCTCTTGGATTTTCATTTTCTGTCACAAAGTGTAAGCTACTGGTTTATGTGATGATTGCAGTACACCTTGTATAAATAACGTGCTTTAAAAACAAAATTTATTAAACTAATAAGTTTTAGATAATTGTACAACATTGTTTCAACACAATGGAAGAGATTTTTAAAATATATCACTAAACAAGAATATACAATATTTAGTATTATTTATTCTACAATACTTTCCTGCAGAAGGGCAATGAAGTGTTTTGTATTAAATATTATGTACATATATGTCTTAATTAACGTTTTTTGAGAGTAATATAATTTTTTGTATTTAATTGGCTAGTTGATGTTAACATAAAGAAAAGCTGTTTACCTACAATTTTACCCTCTGTAATAAAAAAAAAACGTACAAGTATATTGTTCAAGTGATTTTTAACACTTACGACATCAATTTATCAGTGTCACATAATTCATCATTGCTATAATTAGTCAGTGGTATGCCCCAACTTTCAATTTCTTGTGTCGTCTTGGTAATGAACTCTCTGTGTCTGATGTATCAGATTCAGATTCATTAAAACTACTGTCCTTTCCAACAGAATTTTCCAATCCAAAAGAATTTGATGTTTTAGCCTTTTCCAGTGTTCGTACTACAAAAGGAATCACTAACTGCCTTTAACAATATTAATTCATTAATTAAAAAGTAAGATATTACTTTGTGCTTCAAGTAAACTGTTTTGTCTTTTGAGGTCCTCAATGTCTTGCTGGTGGGCATTATTTTTTCTTCTCATAAACTGTATATATTCAGCGGCTTTTTTTAAAATTTGGGCCCTACTAGCCTACAAAATAATTTATTAGTTTATCCATTAATACAGTGCATTACCTTTTATCTACTTTTTCCCCATTAAGAGCAGGTACTGAATCTCTCAAACTACTAAAACTATCTTTTATGTGGTCTCTTCTTTTCCTTTCCAAGGCATTATGATGTGCTCGCTTTTCTGCCTTGAAACACAACGATTTATATCATACAACAGAAACTTGTTAAGAAAAAACGTTATTTTGCTAGAGGAAACTTTAAGAAATGCAAGTTACCTGTGAATAATACTGGCTGTTTGACGACTGCCTGAGACTTTGCTGCCGAGAGTNCAGAATTTCATATACAACATTTTTCCGTTATTTATTAATGACGTATAGATAGGGTGGGGTTGTTTAACCTACATTTTATAGCGGTCAAAAGTTTTGGGTTTTGAAACTGTTGAACATTAACAGAAAAAAGTTCTTTAAAAAATGTTTTATCAATTAAAACTATTGTGTTCTCAAAAAGAAGGAATATTTGCTGATGTATGGATTGCGGCTACTTTAGGGGTGAAAAGATTAACTAAAAATCAAATTCACAATACAGATATTGTAAAAATCAGGTACTTATTAACAACTTATTAATATTAATGAAATACTAATATTATATTTTACATCAATAAATTACAGTAAAGAAATTGAGGAGATGATTGTAACTCAATCTCATCATCCTAAAAAGAGGCTCTCGCTTCGTTTAGCAGTTATACTTGTAAACGGGGCAACCAAAATATATTTGCAGCAAGTTATAACATTGCAAGAAGAAATACTATCATTTCTCTGTTATGTTAGAAGACCCATTAAGTTGACTGACGAAAGTATTAAAAGACCAAGAAATGTCAAGGCCAAAAAGAGGCCAAGACCCAAGCAACAACCTGAAACCTCCAATGAACAAGAACAAATCGAAATACCACCTGGATCTTATATCAGAAAGCTATCAGATACTCATTACACATCGGCTATTGCCGAAGAAGTAGAAAGAACGGTACATTTATAAAAGAAAGCAATTAGAACAATAAAGTAAAAAATTATTGATTTGTTTAGAGAATTGGTCCAGGGCCTATCGAATGGGGCGATGAGTTTATAAGACAAATAGAAGAACTCGCAGAGCTTGAAAGGATCCAAGAGGGAGCCAAAGAAACGTAAGAAAAATGTATATGTGTTGAAGAAACTTTTGTATTTAAAGAAATGCCTACTTGTACAATTTATTAATTTCACGCCTGAGGCATTCAATTTTTAAAACTCTTTATTTTATGAGTGAAATACTAATTGTCGTGTGTTTCAAACAATTTCATTAAATGCACTTTAATTAGTAAAGTTATTGATTAACATTATTTGATAGTTTTATACAAATAAATACAGTAAAAAAATAATAATTAATAACCCATTGGAAGTTATTACTATCCCATTATTGAATTTAAAGTTACCTACATCCATTCTCCAAAAATTATAATGTTTTATCTATATAANTTTACCATATATTAAATAGATGGCGGTATATGTAACTATATTTACATTTGATTTCAAAAAGTAACAAAACAGTTTATTTTTTGTCTTTTGATACTTTATCTTCTTTTGGTGCATTTCCTAACGAATTACTTGTTAACAAATAAATAAGTAAATATAAAGAAGATGATATATCCAGAAGTTATCTTGGTCAATCTTTGAAACTATGTAATTTTAAACATGCATAGGTACTACTTAAAATACTTTCTGTATATCTTATGTTAAAGGATTGATAACTGAGAAATTATACTGTTGTGGATTAGTTATAATAAAAAATATATTTACTTTTTAGCTTTTTAGCAAGTTGTCGACTGAACAGCACTAGTGCAAGCTTAGATACCCCATAAGCTTTATAACTAGTACACTTACTAGTAGTTATGACATTTGTGTAAAAATTCCATTACGTTGTTTACTAAGAAATAAAATATTCGCAACAATTTTATCATAAATTAATAAAGAAACCTTTAGGGCTGTTTAACTAGAACAATTTTTACGAATTACCTTGTACAGATGTTTCTTCAGCATATCTTCTATCTATAACTTTTTTTATTTATTTTTTGGAATAATTAATTTAATAGAGATTCATTTATACTTCAATTTAGTTTAGCCTACGTATCCAAAAGCACTATTTAAAATTTTCTATTGTCTTATAACTATGAATTAAAAGAACATTTTCTACAGGTTTACGGCAATGAAATATTTGATAAATGGATTTATGATAATTTTCTTCCTGATTTGGTACAACAAAAAAGAAAAAATCCAGACCCTGTGAATTTTCGATACTTGGTATCAGAATTCTTCAAATATGAATCTGAAATTACACCCAGAAGACAAACAAGTGGACGTCCTTTAGCTGGGTAAAACTACACATTTGTTGTTGTTCAACCAACGTAATATGGTTTAAATAAATATCTTGTCACCTATTTCAAAAGGATTTAAAAACCAAAAATTGTACTGAACTTGATAAACATTTTTTAATGAACTAATTGATTGATAAAATGAAAACTCAAACCTGAACAATTGCGTAAAATTTATATTTACGATTATCACCTATTATCCTCTTAATAAGCCGTTGTTTAGATCACGTACTATGTAAAAATATTCATAAACAGAAGCAGATAATCCTGCTAGGTTTATAAAGAAAAAAAATCATTTATGAATTAATGACTGTGTTAAATTTTTATATCATAAAATAATTTTTTACCTTTCAGGACAAGATTGAGTGTCCCAGAGAAGGGAAGTGCCTCCAAATTATCTGCCCAAAAGAGGGGTGCAGTAGCTACTCCTAGTTTGGAAAGACAATTTGTAAAACCAGCTCCTCCTAAACAACTCCCTGATATAGTCATCACCAGCCCTCAAAGTGAAGAAATCATTCCAGAAGTTGTCCCCCATCCTCAAGACTTTCAACCAGTGGAAAGAACCGATGAACAGCCACTTGCAGAGTCTGTGGTTGAGGTTGTTCCTCAAGAACCACTTGTACATGAACGTGAACATGACAGGCCACTGCAACGACCTTATGGAAGTCCTGCGGAATCTTTCTCTTCTACTGAAAATAGACGTAAAACAGAAGAAGAACGGTAATATATGTCTTTTTTATTATTTGAAATTGCATATAAACAAACAGAAAAATATTTTCTATTTCAGACAAAAGCGTTTAGCAAAAATAATTCACAAGTGGAATGAAGAAGAAATGGGAGAAATAACCATTGAAAAAATTTGTCCACCACCTATTAACAAACTCAATATTGCAAAAACATTCTCTGATCTGCTTCGTAAGAATATTTACAAGTTTTCCAAAATTACTTCATAGTAACATTTTTTTTATTTACAGATTTAGAGAAAATGGGCTATGTAAACCTGACTAGTGAAACAAACTCTTTACAATTAGGAAAAATTGAGAAAGGCAAAAAATTACTAAGAAATTAGACACCCCTAATTTTAAGTGCCTATTTTAAACTTTTTAATTTTAAATTTCACTTTGTCTATTTATGTTCCTAATAAGGTCACATAAGATATAAAATACGCATTCTTTATTATTTTAAGAATTTTGACTTTTAATTTTTGTGTTTTAGAATAAGATTTATGTTCTTTATTATATTTATCGGTTCTTTTATGCAGTTACCAAAAATAAGATAATTATCTACTTTGTAAACGTGACATTAATGAATCATTAATATAACTTTAGCCATCAATAAATATGTAACAATCTTTAAATATTTTATTCAAACTTTATTACTAGTCGTGAAAGTAACAATATACATTTTCAGAATACGGTCATCCTAATATAAAATTACATAGGTATTTAACTGTAATACTTACTTCGCAAATATTCACTGTCTGATGCTTGATGTTACACTTGTTCCGTTATACAGTAAACAATTCACATGTGATTAAGAACAGCAATTTATTTTCAATATAAAAATAATCGACACTGGATCGATAATTATTGTAAGTAAACAGAGATAAGTTAATAAATACAGTGACAGGCACATAGGGTTATACCATCGACGTTCACTAATGGACATGCCTTAGCGGTCACAATTGTGGTACAACAAAAGAAAGAGATGGAACGAAGTCTCGGACAATATCCATCTCTCTCGCGATAGTGGGTAAGCGTGTCATGAAAGAGATAGCATTAGTCCGAAACCATGAATGCGCTATGATCATACAGCTAAGGCACGTCCATTAATATACGTCTATGGTTAATACAATATTACAATAGTTAGTAAAAGTCAATAAATGTTATATGCAGGTTAACCATTCTTAACGAATAAATGATAATGACGATTAAGAGATTATCCATAGATTTCAGAACAATAGAATATAACACAAATTTTATCAGAGCAAAATAAACACATATTCATAAAAAAGGTAAATGCCAAATACTCCGATTATTTGGCTTACATATTTTATTTCGGCATAGGTTCATGCAATGTAAAATTAAAAGCAGACCGCTATCTATTTATACTTTTTAATACGCTCCATCGAAAATTGCTTTTCTATGTAATTTTATAATGAAAAAGAATCAAAGCAACCTTTGTGACCATGCTCTTATTAAAGAGCACGCATGTACCGAGTGCCATTCTTGTTATGCAACCCAATTTACATATCATTAAATGTTTTTATTAACACTTAATTAAAATAAGTAGCAGCTTCTTTGATGTCTTTTGTGTAATAAATTACTAAACGAAACACTATTACCGAGATTCCGTAATTACGCTTAACAGCGACACCCCACAAATTACATGCACTATCTAAGAATAACACCTTATTAGGTGTGGAAACAAATTTTAGGATTTTAAATGTATTTGTGAAATTTAGGGTAAAAGTGTTTCATTTACAATTAGTTTTATTCCAATTTAGCAGAACTCGAAACAAAAATTCTTTTTTAACCAAAATGACTATTACATATAGTTAATTAACACAAATAAAAGATAAAAATAAGATTTTATTAACCAGTACCGGGTAATGAAGTGTAAAGAATTAACATGTACAATTTTACATAAAATTTTACTATTTTACAACATTAACTTCCAATAAAAATTGAGCCTGGCTATTTACACATCTATATTTATCATTGTTTTTATTTATAACTTTTTACAGTTAACTCCTTAGTTCAGATTAAACAAAAATACTGCAGCAAAACACTATTCAAGCTCTAAGGTCTGCTTTTTAAAACAATTAAAAATAGACGATGATAAACACCGCCACAGGTTAAAAACGTGACTTATATGAGTAACATCTGTTCAGATTTGATATAATTTCAAAGTAAAAAATAATATTTTCAATACATTTTTTTTGTACTGATACAACTAAAAAATATGGCACGAATCAAGAAAAAATTACTTGTAATTTCTGTAAACATTTCAAATCTGAACATAAAAATCTGGCTTAGTCACAAAATTACACGTTTGCATCAAATACTGTTTTGTCAAAAGCGGAAATTTGTTGAATACATTTTTTTATTTATAATTTAATTAACTGTGCAGTCAAATGTTATGCAATTACAACAAGCTTATTGTATTATTTGTATATTAATTACTACACAATGTCGTAGTTTTACAATTGAATACCTTCAACTACAAGCAACAAATAAGTTATGAAGTTGAAAGCGAACTTTCGCCTATAAAAAGATATTACATGAAATAAAAAGAAAACATTCTATTTAAAAAAAAAAATATGAATAAAATCACTGTTTAAGAATAGCGTAAAATAATTTTATAAGAATGCTTAAGACATAACATTGAAAAGATTATTAAAATATCCAATAATTTCAATTAAAAAAAAAACATTACTGTTATAAGATTGCCAAGATTAATTGAATAATGTCATTTAGAAAACTGCTTTAACATAGCCAAACTGTTGCACACCATTTGACATAGTAAATGAAATTAATTACCACAATCACCAAAAAAGACAAATAATGTCCACTAACACACTACAATTAAACCTCTTACATGTTTGCAACAGATTAAGGAGTTCAAACAGTCACATTAAACACAAATAAGAAACACGTTTAGGCACTTGGGTGGTTTTTATATATTTTTTTTAGCAATGCCAGTGAGCAACCAAAACCACTATCATACTTAGTAACCAAAAAATAAAAAAATATTAAGAAATAACATAAAAAATGCCCCATTTGAATCAAATCGTGGCAGATTTTAATCAAGAAGGGATTTCCTTTAAGTAATTTGTATAAACTATTAAATTAATTGCTTTTATATTGTTTTGAGTAATTTTTATTTTAATATACATATAATAGTTATGCTTTAATTAAACAATCCCCTTTTGACTACTATCTGCAATATACTGTTAAAAACATAGAAAATATAACAACCATGCAAAAAATAAGGTATGTTTATTGTTACCTGAAGATATCGATTTTTTGTATATGTTGTATGTATGTACAATAAAAAAAGAATAATTTTGTAGCTACCAACATTGCCTATAAGAAGAGAAAGTATATCACAAGGTAGTTGTGACAACTATTTACTGCCATATGTATCGTCTAGTGAAAATAATTAACTGAAAATATGAAAGCTTGGCATTTTGTCTTTATTTATTTTTACTAGAGTTGGATTATTCGGATATTATGTGCATCATTTTCGACAGCAGATACAAAGGGCAGGGCATAGATGTTCGCTACAGACTAGAGAGCGCATCCATCAGGATTGTTTTATTTTACCGTTTTCGACGCGAGTCGAATTAGTGACTGCCATTTCAGCTGCTTGTACAGCCATCTGCTGCATGCTTGTCTCTATGAAGTTTTTGTAAACGGGCTTCAGAAACTGGAAAAAATCTCTGAAATTTTATATTGCCTTTGCATTGTTTTGATAATAACAACAGATATGTACCAGATGATTTTTTTTTTATTCTGAATTATATAAGATCATTTCTGAAATTGCGATTAGTTTTTTTGAAAAGGAAATAAAAACTGAATCGAGGTTGTATCATCTTAAGTCATCATCTTAACAATAAAAATAGCATGCTTCATATATGCAATAAAAAGTTTTTGAAAAAGTGCAAAACTAATAACAAAGTGTCGTTTACTTTAGTTAATATATCAGCAATTCTGATTTATTTCCATAATGCAACATGCACTTTCAAACGTTTTTTGTTAAAAAAAAGCACTTTTATAAATACAATTAAAGAGTACATACGCCGTTTTCTTTGATTTCTCTTTCTAAAATAAGCATGCTGTAGGAACAACAACACTATTATAGTAAAAATTTGTAACAGTCACTAAAATACATACACAGTACAAAATTTTAAAAATCACATTTTTACTACGATCTTTTAATGCACATTTTCCGTTTGAAACCTATATAAACGAAACTTGTGAAAGTGTATTATTCAAAATTGTCACTCTATTCTAATATTATGGCCAATTTACTTTAAAAGAACTTGTGACTTTTATTTTTCTAATTAAAAAAAGACTTTGCTTACTGTTATTACAAAAAAGGCTGAGGCATCAGTCTAAATTATTAACACCATAACTTTTATAAAAACTTAGGTAACTTACGTTTTCCCATAAGAAGTTGGCGATCTCATCAATTTGTGTGCCCAGTTCTCTGAGTTCTCCACTATACCTATAAATAAAAAATAATATTTTATTTATTATTTTACAACATTAAC